GATGGAGGCACTCACGGCATGGGCCGTCAATTGCTACGTCGGGCTCGACAAAACGGATTTGTGGTGCTGCCGCGTTCCGACCGAAGATTCCTCGACGATGGGTCCGGGTGGTGACGGGGCGGGGGACGGTGTGCTTCCAGAACGCCCCGGCTTCTGCTGCGGTCAAGGCCGACGTGTTGGTGCGCGTGACGAGGGCGATGCGGACGCGCGCCGGCTTCATGACGGTGCCGATGCCCCACTATGTGCTGCTGCCGTCCGCCGCGGGGGTGCACGCAAAAGGCGCGCTTACGTACCCGGTATTTGTGGGCAGGATGCGGCGCGAGCTGCGCGAGCTGCAGCCCCCGACGGAACGCGAGCCACGCCCCTGCCTGCTGCAAACGAACCCGCGGCTGTGCCCCACCGACGCGGTTGCACTGCGGCCGAATGTGCTCCATCCCGGGAAGGTGGACGCAAAGTACCGGGTGCTGTACGTGCCGGGGCTCGAAAACTTTCCGCCCGTGGAAGACTTTTTATTCGTTGGGGCGCATCTGCGGGTTCGCGTGTGCCGCGGGCCCTGGAGGTGCGGACCGACACCCCCGTCATCGGCCCACTGATGTACGTGGCCACCGGCGTTACGGCGGCCGGGACTTTCCGTCCGCAGCCGGGTCGGGGAAGGCAGCCCTCTGCAGGCGGCGACGCAACGCCTGCGGAATAAAATCAGCAGGTACGGGGCCTGGGCAGCCGACAATGCCCCTCCACTACGAGCCGCTTGTGATGCGCACACAAGGCGCCCTAAACAAATGGACGTGGCCCAACGCCTCGGAGAAGCAAACGCCGCGCCACTTCCAAAGGCACATACCGCCGCAGCCTCGGCCCAGGGGAGCGGCCGCGCATAAAACTCGCGTGGGGCCAAGAGCTCCATGTGCCGCGCGCCATGCCCATTCGAGAGCGCAAAGTCGCCCATGAAACATCACCGCCTGGCAGACGCTCCTGTAGACTTGGGATTACTCACGCATGTTGTTGGCTCGCACCACCTCTGCGCCGACCACGGGTGAAGCACAGTGGTAGTCACGCCTTTGTCGACCTTTGAAATGCAGCTCACTCAAAGTATCCAATAAAAAAAAGGCGGCAAACACAGATTAGAGATAGAGAGTAAATATATATATATATATATATGCATATATACACATATATGTAGGTATGTGGAACAGAACTGATGCAGGGGCTACGCATACAGGAGGCGTGCGTGGCGAAGAAAGCAGTTAAAGTTAGGCTGGGCAACCTCTACTTTTTGACCTATACGATCATGCATTGGATCATTCACAATTAATGTGCATACGCGCCTCATAAGTGTTTTTTTTTTCCTCCAGTCGCTCTGTATATAAGACTGTATTCCGTTTCCGCAGTGATACCTTCTTACGTTTGTTGCTAGACCCCCTCCTTTTGCCTTGCCGCGTGGAGGGCGCAGCTTTCTAGACGCATTTCCTGCACACAATCGGCTTACGCATACATGTATGGATTTTTTAAGGAAAATAGTACGGTTGCACATTCAAAAAAGAAAAACATAATCCACTTGCGTTTGGGTGTACCTTGGAAGCTCTTCCCCTTTAGTTGTTTCAAGATGAAACGGGCGGGTCACCAGTTATTCTTCCCATACGTGCAAGGCACAATGCCTATCCCTACCGCACGTGGCACTCAGCCACCGCATTTTCATAACGCAGGCACGCCTGGGCGGAGAACTCCACAACTTTGTTGCAAGCGAGGGCAGCTACAGCGCAGACGGCAAAAATAATGAGGAAATTTATCTGGAAAAGCTAGGGAGGGGGGAAGAGAAGAATGAGAACTGCCGGTGTTACTTCACTCTTTCTCCTTGATGGTCCACAGCTTGAGTGTGTCGTCCAGGGAGGAGGTCAGTAGTTTGTCCCCGACAACGTCCAAGTGATAGACGGTGCTGTGGTGCCCCGTAATTGTCTCCAAGTGCTCTGCAGTCGCGGCGTCCCACACCATGACGGTCCAGTCCCTGGCGCAGGAGTAGATGTACTTGTCGTTGGCGGAGAAGAGGGCCTGGTGGATGGGCACCTGATGGCCCTTCCAGAAGAGAATGCAGCTCTTGCCTTTCCAGTCCCACACCCGCAGCTCATGGTTCATCGAGGCGGTAACGATGCGGGCGTCATTGTGTGAAAACTTACAGGACCAAACGGTGTCGGTGTGGCCAGCCATGGAACAGTACTCATCGCCCTTGCCCCAGTCCCAGACCTTTATCAGGCGGTCGTCTCCACCAGAGACAACGTACTTTCCACGGTCGGTGTTGCTGAAGCAGCACGAAAAGACAGCGAGGGTGTGGCCCCGCAGCGTTACCATCTTTGTGGCGGAGTCGGCGTTCCAAACCCGCACCGTGTGGTCACAGGACGCGGAGACGATATATTCGCCCGTGGAATTGTACTGCACGCAGTAGACCTTATCGTCGTGTCCCTTGAGGGTGGACACCTTGGCGCAGGTGGTCGTGTTCCACACCTTGATCGTTCGGTCGTCGGAGGAGGAAACGATGCGGTTGCCACGCGGCGAAAAGTCACACGAAAGCACGAACCCGTTGTGACCTCCCTTCATCACGGAAGAGCTCCCCGTGAGAGTGTTCCACAGTCGCACGGAGCGGTCGCGGCTGGCGGTACAGAACCGATCCCCCTTCGTGGAGAAGGAGCAGCAGTAAACAGCAGAGGCGTGCCCCGTGTAGGTCTTCTCCTCGCGGACCTCCAGCTTGCCACTGGAAAACGCCTTCACCTTAAACGGATCACTGGCCTTTGTGTCGGTCAGTTTGTCGTCTGTCGCCTTCTTGCGTGTCTCTGGTGGAACGCAGATGAGTTTCATGCGTTTGCCCTCCTGCGCCTGACTCTGGCTCATCTCAAGGAACATGCAGAATACATCGTCGTCGTCCAGGTCAATCAAATCCTCCCCTTCGTTGAACGACATGGCCATCTTGCGTCCAAACTTCTTTTCTACCATCGCACAAAACTCCTCATATGTTGTACTGGGGTTAATGTAAAGAACTTTGTTTGCAGTACTCTTCTCCTCCTGGCAGTAGACAGCGAGCTTACCCCGTGTTGTGCGTGCCGTCACCTGTAACGAGTCTTCTTCAGTACCATCGCTAACACTGTGGCTGGCGTTTCGTGGTATCGCGACAGGTGTGGCAAACGTCTTCGGTTCCTCGCGCACACGCGCCGTGAGATCCATTTCAGGCTGCTCGAGCACCTGCCTAATGAAGTTGCTGATAGTGTCACGCTCCTCCATCGACATGCCCGTAATTTCGTCGATCGCGCCCACGCCGGCAGCGGAAGAGACCTTCCTTCCATGCTGCTGCCGCTGCTCCTGCTCCTGCTCCTGCTGCTGTTGTTGTTGATGTTCTTCTTCTTCTTGCGGTGGCGGTAGTGGCGGTCTTAGCTCGGCCGCCTGCGTTGAGGACTCCGCGGCCCCCTCCGTGGCGGAGTCTTTCCTTGTCCCTGCCCTTCGCGCGTTCTTCGCCGACACCACCTCAGTAAACTTCGCAAATATTTCCTCGTCACTCGCGGATGACCCCGGCAGATTCTCGCGAAACGTCTCTATCACCAACTCTCGTGTCGCCTTCTGCTGTACCAGCAGCTCAATCACGGCGTACTCTTTGGTGTCTGGCAGACCCATGTATGAGAACTGCTTCCCTTTGAATTGCAGTGTAATTTTCTCCGCTCTCTCCCTCGGCTGCTCTTCCTTGGCGGCGACGGCCATCTTGCGCTTCTTCTTCTCCTCATAGGCCAGTTGGGCGTCGCCAAAGAGCTGCCGGATGCTCTCGTCAGTGTAGCTCGCGGCATCCTCAATGTTTTCCCGGAAGGCCCTGACCGCGACAGAGGGGTTGACCTTCAGCTTGACGAGGATCTCCATCAAATCCCTCACGCGGGTTTCTGGTCGTCCATCGTAGACCACCGTCTTCCCTTCTACGCTAAACTTCAGCTTTGCCTTGCTCATAGCGCGGCGGTCCGGGATGGGGCTCAGTGATTTTATCTAGCCTTGTCTGCTAACCTGGATGGGAGCAGTTGCTGCTGCTGCTGCCGGTGCTGGTCGCCTGCTTACCTTGCGCGGTGGTTGGGCGGTAGAATAGGGGGGGCACTACTCGCCGGCGCAACGGTTACACGCAGACGTGTGCGCCGGCAATCATAGATACACAGCGAGAGAGAGAGAGAGAACGCAAACACACTTAGGAGCAAATAAATAAGCAGTCAAGAAGGCAGGTTGAGGAGGCAGAGAATGGAAAAGAAGAAAATTCTTACACCACAGCCGTACATGAATCTCCGAGGCGATTAGCACAAGCATCAGAAAAGAATATATAAATATATATTAAGTTCACTGAATTATTAAAAAAAACGATAATGGTGTCACTAACTGCTACTGCTGCCGTACGGAACGTCCTTCTTAGATGCTCGCCGTTCCACACAGCATTGCCATCTGCTGTAGACATGCCGTAGCCTCGCCTCGCGGGCCCCGCACTCGCTTTCCATGTCAACGATTTCGCGCTGCAGCCTGACGACGGAGTGAGTGATGCCGTCTATGCTGCGCTGCGCTGCTTCAAGGTTGCCCTTCATATCTAGACGCCGCTGCTTGATGGATGCCGCCCGCTCCGCCAACTCGAGGCACTTGGCGTCAGCCTCATCCTCGCCGAGACGCGTTTGCTTCTTTGCCTCATGAATCCGCCGTGCGAGGAGCTCCTGTTGCTTCTGCATTTCCCGCACCTGCGTCTCCATCAGCTCGCGCTGCGCCCACTCCGACCGGATACGCTCCTGCAGCTCCTCGTGCTTTCGCTCCAGCTTCTGCAACACCGTCGCGGAGGCCTGCGCCAGTTCCAATAGGGCAATGTCAGCCTCCTTCATCCCTGCCATCCGCGCGCGCCAGCGGCTCGGGTTCTGATCATGGCCCACAGTTGTCAGCCGCATCCGCAGCAGGGCAAGCCGCAGAAACGACACCCATTGACGCTTTTCCTCCTCTCTGCGAGTGCGGAGGTAGAAGATATCGTTTGATTCATTCACCGTAACGGCAAAGTAGTAATAGCGGTCATCCGTGCACTTTGGTTGCGCCGCAGCAGCAATACTCTCCAGCACTGCACTGTTCCCTGTAAAAATCTTGTACCCCTTTGGTTTCTCACTGGGGGCGTCTGTCTCATAGTAGTGCATCCCCTTATCGTTCACACGGAAGTAGCGCTTCTGCCACTTCACGCCCATGCGGCGGCTGTCGGGGGAGAGCTTCTCCAGATATCCGTCCTTCACCACAGTCTCTGACAACAGTTGCAAGTATTGCGCCCCCACCGGCTGCCAGAGCGCCTCGAAGGACTCTGCGACGTTCTCCCCGCATGCGCTGCATAGCGTGCCGATCGCCTGGCCAAATTTGTTGCCAAGCGTTACCCGAACTTGCGGCGTGCGTCCGCTCCTTCTGCGCAATTGCGCCGGTGGCGGTTGTGTTGGGGAGTCGATCGACATCTTTTCCGCGGCTGCTGTTGCTTCTAGCGTCTGTGCTGTGGCGGAGGCCGTCATCAATTCATCGTTGCTTGCGGGGACACGCTGCCCACGCGGAAAGCCATCCCCGCTTGTGCCATCACTGTCGTTATCACCGTGCACAGCAGCCTCGCAGGGGTGTAGAAAGAGGCGGTACCAATACTCCTCGTCCCGCGGGTACGCCGCGGCCTCGTCGCCGCTGAAATCGCCTGGCTCATTTGCCTCGTAAGCCTCGATAAGCGCGTGCCCGTCCACGAGGCTCTTCGGGAAACGCTCCGCCACGTTCGCCTTCTCACTACTGCCATCATTATTCTCTCCGTCATCACTCCACGTCTCCTCGTCAATGCGGCTTCGGTCAGCGCCGAGGCGACGGCGGCTGACGAGGCGCGTCAACACCGCTGGGGCCGACCGCGCCGGCTCCGGGCCCAGCTCGCGCGCGAGTTGCTCAATGATTTCCTCCTCGCGCCCGAGATAGTCTGCAAGAAGCCGCGGCACCTCACGCAAGCGTGGTGGAGCGTAGCGCACAAAGAGGCGGCGCAGTCTGTTCTCGTAGTCCCCAAACGTTGCCCGCACAAAACACAATAGCTGCTCCTCAGAGCTAAGGGCGTAACACACTTGCTCCGCATTTTTCCCGCTGGCAAGAAGCCAATTAGAGAGCCGTCGCCGCTCGTCAAGACTTTCGTTACCGGCACCCACACCAGCCTCAAAACCTCTCGGCGAGTTTTCGTCCCCACCGCCTCGGTTGTCCCCCATCTCGCCACCTCCAGCGGGCTCCGGGCCGTAAGTGGCGACAAGGCTGTCGATCAGCTTATCCGCGCCCTCCGGCCCAGCAGCCTCAATAAGTGCATCGACACCGCCCAGCTTCTCCGGGGCGTGCATCGTGAAGAAGCGCACCAGGCGTGCCTTGAACTCAGTGGCTTGTAACCGTGGAGAGGAAGCCTCTGTCTGCGGCCCCGCAGGAATCGCAGCGGTAATGACATCTGGTGGCGTTCCACTCTCTGCAGCAAACAACCCACGTTTCTCACGCGATAATGCCAGAAGCACGTCCTCGTGCGATGCATTGGCCACATGCAGGACATTTTCAATAAGTTGCTTCACTGGTGGGGTTTCGCAACGCAAAACCTCCACTTCCTCAACGCCAAGCCGCCCCAAATTTTGTTGCTTTGCAATACACGATTCCTCCTGCGGAGGTTCCGGGCCGTACTTCTTCACCAGCGCCTCGAACATCTGCCCCTCCCGCCCGCCGTAGGCCTTCAGGATAGCGTCAATCGTGCCGAGCTTCCCCGGGTTGTGCTTCCGCAAGAAGCGCTCAAGGCGCTGCCGGACATCCTCAGGCTCGCCGGCATTTGCAGCAGGGGAAACTGCAGCGGCAGAAGCAACTGGGGGTGATGCCTCTCGCGGAGGTTCCGGGCCGTACTTCTTCACCAGCGCCTCGAACATCTGTTCCTCCCGCCCGCCGTAGGCCTTCAGGATAGCGTCAATCGTGCCGAGCTTCCCCGGGTTGTGCTTCCGCAAGAAGCGCTCAAGGCGCTGCCGGACGTCCTCAGGCATTTGGATTGCTTTCTCATGGCATACAACACCGATGAGTACAATGCATTTTTGGTCACCATAACAGTATGTAAACGAGAGTGCGAGAGACAAATGAAAGGGGGAGTAGTAAAGCAGAGGAACAGAGGGGGTAAAAGTTCAGAGAGGGGAGTTGGTTGATACCTGTCACGTGGTGCTTGCAGGCGCCGGACCGTGCGGGCACTTGGTGAAACTGCATTGTCAAACACTCTCGAAGGTGCCATCAGCAGAAATGTCAAGCAACGCCTCGAGCAGGTCGGTACTCTGAAACTCCTGCTTGTATTGAAGCATCTCGTGCCGTGTTACCCAAGCGTGGTCTTCCAGTACCGGCTCAAATTCGGAGAATTTGGGCCGTCCCATCAGATACGTCGCCGCATACACAAAAAGGCGAGTGTTTTCAACGGTGTTCAGCACGGTCGCCTGCGGTGCGTTTGACCACACGTAACAGTCCAGGGCATCGCTGTTGTGCTTCGCTATCGCCCTGTCTACGCCCATGCGAAGTGTTTCCCGCGGCTTGACGGCGGTCTGCGGCACCGTCCATTTCCCGCTCGCCGCCTCTTTTACGATGAGGTAAAGGTAGTCATCCAGCTTGCGATGAATCGAATGACGAGGGGGAGGACCGCCGTCGCCGAGCTCCGCAGGATTCCATAGGTCGTGCGGTGTCACTCGCTTCTCCGGTGTGTAACGCTGCAGCACTACCCGCATCGCATCCTGGTAGAGGTCTAGGCCGAAGAAGTTGCTTTTTGTCTCCTGCGGATCAGTGCGGTTCATGACGTCGATGGAGAGCCCCCGTTGGCCCATGAAGTGCGTGGCAGACTCCGACGCCTCGTGCCTACAGTAACGCTGGTGCTCGCGTTCCAGCAGGAAGCCCATCTCCGCCTCAAGTGGGTGCGGGGTGTGCTTCACCACCGGGTGGCGGTGCAGGAGGTATCCAACCAGCACGCCAGTCGTCGACTCCGGTGAAGTGTCGCCCAGAGGCAGCTGGGGTATTATGGGCGTCCGATGCTGCGCGTGAAAAGAGCGCCCGGCCAGGCGTGGCGGCAGTGCAACGAGCCGCATTTCTTCGCTAATTTCAGCTCCTACACCGAAAAAAGAAAGGGGGGGGGGAGAGAAAGAAGGAAGGTGGTGGTCGGAGTCTCACAGCCCACACATGTAGGGGAGAGTGCTGCACGCACGACAGCGAAGCGCACACGCCCACGCACGCAGGCAAAGAGGCGTGAAGCATCATCGCGGCCCCTCATCCCCTCGAAGCTCCAAGGCCCCGAGTCTCGCCTCCATGTCGTTCAGCCGCCGCCCCACTGATTCCATTGACACCTGCAGCAGCAGTTCCAACCGTTGCAGTCTCGTTTCAACTGTAGACGCAGACTCCTCTTTCTTACTGTCGTCGACCGGGGCCGCCACGTCCACCACAAGGCAGACAGCCAAGAGGTCAATAACTTGTCTTGTCCTTCGTGCGAAAAACTTCAGCTTCAGCGTCTGTCCGGCGGCCGCGCCGCACTCGGCGTCGTGAAGAAACAAACCCGCTGCAAGGAGGGTCCCCTCATGCGTGTGAATGGCGTTGTCACCGACATGCAGCTCCAGCACACGCGCGTTGCTCACGACGACTACGTGCCGCAGGCGCTGCTGCAACTGCAGTGTCATCCACGGGGCCACCGCTGCCTCGTCTGCGTCTTCGAGCAGCACTGCTGTCGTTGCTGTGTTGCCCATCGCCCTCGCGGCTGCGGCGGCCTCCGCATGCGCACGTGCACTCTCTGCCTCGGCGCAGAACATGAGGGGTGGGGGCTGGCAGCCTCGGTGGCGCTGCCGCCAGCTGCACGTTACGTTGCCGTCCATCGCGCTCGGAGGATGCATAGAGAAACAAGAAGGGAAACCAAGAAGGCCGCATTCCATGTGACCAGCAGCAGAGAAGGGAAGCAACGCAAAAAAAAAAAACCCGCGTTCCGGACTACGCGGACGACAAACACGCGCCATCAGCACGTGCCCCCAAACTGATGCCCCGCGCAACATCGAGATGCGGAGGAAACACAGAAATAAAAACAACAACAACAATTTTGCTTCGCCTCCTACTGGATTGCCACTTCCTCTCCTCCCGACAAAAATAAAAATAAAAATAAAATAAAAGTAACAAAAACACGCTGGGGAGCAAAGGGGGTGATTTCATATATCCCACCCCCATGCCTCTACGCTCTTGTTACGCATACACCACAACATATGGAAAAACTCTAATTAATCTATCACCATAAATAACAGCGAGAATACATTGGTTTTTTGTGCGCGTGTGTTGATGCAGTAATAGGTGTCAACGAAACGGAAGTGAAGAGGAGTGGTGGTACGCGATAGAGGTAGAAAAGGGGCAAGGCCGGAGCAGAAGTCAGCCGTTGCAAATGCGGGTCACTAATCCTCTCTTCTTCACCTTCGCCGTGCACGCGTGCCTGTTTGCTTTTCCTTTCATTTCTCCTCCTCCTATGTGCCTCATTCGTCTATTAGCGGAGCCGCACTACGACCGGCTTGCCGGCCCGATACTACCCGCCGCGAGCGCACATACCCGCCATGCAGTGTGTTCCCGATCTTGTGGCCGTACGGGCTGGTGTGCAGCAGCGGCCTCACACGGCTGGAGATCTCGCGGAACTCCTCCCCACCACTGGACGAGTCAATGATCGCCTGTAGGACAAAGTTACCAAACCCGTCCTGCATAAGTGGCCTGAGATTACTGGTGTCCATGACGAGCTCATTCACCAGTTCCCTGCGGGCTGCCCCGTCGAGTTGCCACACAACTTTTTCAATGACATTGGATGCAAATTTGTTGCGTGAGAGCATCAACCAATGCCCCGCAAAGGCGTTGCACACCACTGATACGAGAGCGTCGTGGTCCATGTGTTGCAGAAGACACTGCACCACGTAGTTGCCATAGCAGTTCATCGTGAGGCTTGGCAGCACTGGAAGTAGCATCGAGATAATAGACCGCTGCTGGTGTGGAAGTGAATTTTCAATGGTGCTTATGACCGCGATGCACCCCTGTTGCGACACTGCCAGTCGCTGGCTGTTTTGTGCAATCGTTGTCACAATTGGTGTGAGAGATTCGCTCTTGTGGCGCTCAAAGATGCTTTGCAGAACGCGGCGAGTGTGCTGCGAGCTGACTGCCAATTCAATTACGGTCTCCGGTGCGAAGTGTGGCAGAACCGTTTCCATCAGCTCCGTCGGGGCAATTTCAAAGAGGGTGCGTACAACGTGACACCCCTGCGGGTCAAGTGCAACAATGTTGAGCTGCGGAAGGAGCTCGTCAATAATAATCTGCAGCTTGTCCATGTGCTGCAGCCGGAGGACGGAGACCAGGAGATGGCGGCCAGTCAGCGTGCACGCCGTCCTCGGTATGTCCCCCACAACAGCGAGAAATTGCTCCAGTAAGCTGCTGTTCACGTGAAACACTTCCGCCCCACCGTTATCCCGTGTGACGCAACTGTTGTAAAACTGGATGGAGCTATCGCAGCTAGTGTTGTTAGAGGAGTTCCTCTGCCGTGAGGTGTTTGCGGAGCTGCACGAAGGGGTCGCTGACTGCGACGCGTATGGGTTGTGCGTGTAGCGTCGACCCCGGCCAGGCGTCACCCCACTGCCTCTTGTGATCGCACTGCAGTTGGCATCCGTTGAGGTCTCCGGCGCAGGTGCCTGCTTCACATACGCGCAACTCGATGACACGCGAACATGTGGATCATTCGATGCCGCCATGGCCATTACCGTGTAGTAATTGGCCCTGCGGGATACGCTCTGGAAGCAAACAGTAAGAAATATAATTTAAAAAACGGGGGAAAAAAGAAAGAGAAAAATATATATCTTTGTGAGTAACGCATGCAAGACACAGCATTACACTTTGGTATAATAAAAGAAATGCGCATTCTTCGCCCTCCTTTCCATGCCTAGTTAGCTGCAATTTGGCAAATGTGTACATCATCGTCAGCGTTGCCTCTGTGGGCTTCCACTCGACTACAACGGAACCAAATAACGGCCTCCTTTGCGCCGCAGGCCTGTAACTCTAGATTGCGTTGCCGGTGAGGGCTGCGTGGCGTTCCTTTCTCCCACACCACTCCACGCGAGTGACGGCAACAAGGCCGTTTCTCGCGTGCCCCACGCGTTCATCAGGTCTGTGGGGTCAATTTGTGGCAGACACGCTGCACCCTCGCGGCCGGCAAGCGCTGCTGTTTTAGCGACTTTGCTGCTTGGCGACACCGTTGGGTGCTCTGATGTGCGCATGCGCTCCTCACGCTCCAAAGAGTTGATGTGCATCAGCGCCCGCTCCCGCGACTCGGCGTCAAGTCGGTGTGCGATGGACATCGCAAGAGCCCGCCATCGCGCGCGCTCAAACGAGAGGGCCTCCATTCCATCCTTCAACTGCCTGCAGTGCAGCTCCGCCTCCTTGTAACGCGCCTCGGCAAGATTCAAGAGAACGCGCGTTGTGCGCCAGTCCCTCTCCATCGTCTGCAGTCGTCTGCAGCACGCAAGAGCCTCTGCTACCCGCGCATCCCCCTGCTCCACGGCAGCCTCCAACACCGCGCACTTCGCCGTTGCCGCGTCGCGTTCGCTGGTTAGCAGCTCCACGGAGCGGCGAAGGCGTTCAACCTCCTTTTCGTGGAAGGAAACATCACGAGTGTGACCCCCATTCTCGGGGGCGGAGGACTGCGCCGCCCCCACGGCAGCGGCGGACTCAAGCGTCGACAGCCGCGTCTTCATAGCCGCGACCATCTCGCGAAGGGTGCCGATGACGCGCTGCTGCTCCATAATTGTCTTGATGGAGAGGTTGGCGTCCGTCTCGGTGGACGGTCCCGCCCCGCCCACTTCATCGCACATCTCCTCCTAAACACTGCAGCGACGCCGCGAAGAGGAGAAAGGGAGAGTGGCAGCAGCGGCAGCAGAAAAAGAATAAGGGCTTCAGTGCAACGCCGAATCCTGCAGCACACGCACACACGAAAGCTTAGTGCGTTGGCTCCTCCCCCGTACGTCACGACAGCAGACGAATGTGACTTAAAGAACACGATCAAACAATCAAACCAAAAAAAAGACCGGGAACAGAACGGAAATGCCAGCCAGAAAGCTATTGGCATGTAGAGACGAGGAACTCCATGGTAGCAAAGGAGCCGCGCCCAATGCCGTCGCAGAGAACCGACAAGTCTAGGAACTCTTCACTGCTGCTGCTCTTCGCTAGCCACTCCATCTCCTCCGAGTACCGCAGCCTCTCACGCAACGGCGACCCCTGCGAGATGCCACCTGCGTATTGATTAGCAATGATGTCCACAGACGGCAGTGTCCAGCCATTGTGATAACGCACGCAGATGCAAAAGCTAAACTGCGTGGCATCGTCCACGATGCAGAAGGTGGCGCAACGCGCCAACGCGTCCTCATCGCTCGTGTCTGCGAGATCATCCGTTGCGACGTTGACACCAATGGGCTGGCCAAAGACAGCTGACAGGCTGCAGACCATTTCAAGGAAATGCAGCGGCTCCCGCAGAGAAAGGCGGAGTGCCTGTTCGAGCGACGGGATGTAGTCCAGAGAGCTCGCGCCACGCTGCAGCATCGACGAGTACCGCGGCAATCTTCCTAGCTTCACGCAGCTGTAAATGAAGGACGTGAAGGAGGCAGCAGAGGGGACGTTCACCTCCTCCGGCTGCATTGATACACGCTCCGAGAGCACCTCCACCGGCGCATCGCGGCTGTCGGTGCGGCAGGTAATGATGAGCGAGAATGCGACACGCGAAAACTGCGGCGGGGCAGCGCAGCGCATCTGCAAGAGATTCGCGTAATGCTCCAGCACGCTTGATAGCTGGGCCCCCACTCGCGCCTCCTCTCCAAGCAGCAGCGGAATGGCAAGTGTGAGGTACCCGCAGCTGCCAACGGACTGCACCACACCCTCCACGCGGCGACCATCCTCACCGACAATGTTGCGCAGGTACACTTCGTACTCAAAGCTCATCGTCTTGCTGTACGCACGCAGCAACTCCGGCAGCTCACGCGCGCTCTTCTCCGTGTAGCCGTGCTCAATCCAACGTACAAGTGCACGCGCCCGGCTCTCAATGGGGTCGCTGAGACGAAAATGCGGCTTCGTTGCCGCATTGAGCCAGGAGTAGTCAACAATGCGCTCGCGTTCGCTGGCAGCGTTTGCCACTACGTCGCAGAGCACAAAATCCAGGTCCGCCGTACCCTCCTCCTCGAATAAGTACGCGTCGAGCACGTGGCGATCAAGCACATGAATGGGAATGGGAGAACTACACATTCCTATCACGCCTTTCCACTGTTTTCTGATAGTCCGTAATATGAGGTGATTCACGTGTGTATATGTGTGTGTTTGTGTTTGTTGTTTTTTGTGTTTGTTAGCTTTCAATTTACTGACTGTGTTCGTGGTGGTGCCGTGCACCACCAACGCAGCCCTGCATTCTCAGCCCGTAGGACGCAAAGCAAGGGAGGACAGGGGGAGCAGCAGCAAGGGGCAGTGATGGGCGCATCTCACTCTAGATTCAGTCCTCCTTGCAGCACACACACACACACAACATATATATTTCCACTTGCTAATCCACACATGCATAACGCACACACACACAGAAGCACAGGCGCAGACAATAATGAAGTGAGATATTCTTTTCTTTCTTTTTCCTTTTTATTCAGAACTGGGTTGAAAAAGGGGAATAAAGTTTTTGTTGCGTGTCTTCACACCTCTTCGTGAGCTTCTACCCACCTATTTCTTCCCCCTGCAAACACAAGACATCCACCGTGTGAAGTGGGCGCCTATAGCACACTCAGCAGGCCTGTGCGGGACAAGTCCATCACGCCCCATATCCCACCGTACGAGTCATTGTGGTACGCACGCACGATCGCCGCGAAGATCAACACCGCCTCAAAGAGGGAGTTTACTCCTTGGTGCGTCGCGTACGTCTTGTCATTCGCCCCGCTACGATACCGCACGTAAAAGTACGGCTCCCCAGTGTCACCAACGAATATCGCTAGGTCCTGCTGCGGGTTCATCGGCTGATGTGGGAACTTCACGTAGTTGGCAAAACCGTCGACGCAGACGCGAACAATGTGAATCAGCAGATGGGCGTCGGTGGGGAAGCCGTCCCGCCAGAGGTCTGCATCACCGTGGTTGTGTCGGTATGAGGCGAGCGTCTTCTGGGACGCAAAGGTGCGCAGTCGCTTGATGACGTACTGCCGCTGAGCCTGCTGCTCCGCCACCGAAAGAGGCGACGCGGCTGGGAAGGTGCCGGACGGATCGAGTTTCGCCTCTAGTGAAAGGCGTTGGTCAAGGTGAAGAATGGCGTCAAAATTCTGTACATTCTGCGCCTGACCGGCAAGCTTCTGCCGTTCGTTCAAAAGAGCGTCGAGTTTGCGCAGGACCGTCGGTGTTGTCGGGGCCAGCAGATTTGTGTTGCCAGCGCCGAGAGTCGCTGCAGCAGATGGCTGGGGTACTGGGATGGTCTCTTGCAGGCAATGCATGGTGTCAAAGGAGCTGATCTGACGCTCCGCGAACCAGCGATCGCAGACGGCCGTCTCATCCGCCAGTTCCTGGCAGAGATCCGATAGCCACCTGCGCGCCTTGAGGAGTGAGCGGTCGGCACTGAGAATGCCTAGACCACTCCATTCCGTCTCTACCGGCTGCGCCGCAGTCTGCTTCTCAGCACCACCAAGATACTGTACGCGAATACCATCTGATGGCTCCGCCGCGATGGCGGCCCCAACTAATGGCCCACTAAACACAGCTTCCCCACTAGCTGCCGCTGAAGTGACGCCATGGCCGGAGAGCGTTGCCGTAGAAACAGGGGCCGCTACAGTAGCGGCGCTCCGCGGGGCCTCACTGCCCTTGTCACCAGCCAAGCCCTTCGAGGCGAGAAAGCGCTTGAGCTCAGCCTCCGAGCGAATCGACTGCTGCTGTTGAAGTGGGTGATTTTGATGAACTCGCAACTGTCGCGCACCGCCCGCTGCCGCAGTGGGGAGAGCATCTACTTTTGGTAGACCGCCAAACTGCGCTGATGCAGGGACAGCAATCGACGAGAAGGGTGCTGGCCATTCCTTCACCCTATGGCCGCCGTCACCAGCAGCGCGAGGGCCACGTACGAGACGCGACGAGTTGCGACGCGCCCCCCCGCCTCTTAGCGTCAGAAAGGATAGCAGAATCAGAGAGGCCGCAAAGACGCAGCCGAGAATGCTGCACACACGCTCCACTCCATCATCTTCGACGACTTCCACCAGCACATTATCCACCCAAGTGTGTGAAACTGACCGGGGGTATATCCACGCCGCGACACGTGCCCCGAGGTACAACAGCGCGCTAGTGAAAGTCAGAAGCTTGAGATGAAAGCGCCTTGCATCCCTCCCGTATGCCTTCGCACGCCGCTGCTGATCGAGCTCAATCAGCTGCTCGCTGTACGATAGGCGCATCAATCCTACTATCAACCCAAGCACGTGTATACTTTATCCTTCCTGCGGTTTATTACAGTTGGGAGAAGACGGGAAAGAGCGAGAGGACATCCACGCTGAGGAATCCCACCCCTCTCACCCAAAAAAAAACACACACACAACAACAACAACAATAGCAACAGTGAGCGCAACAGCAACAAGTACTGTTGTCGTCCATTGTGTCCTCCAGGCGTTTTCCACCTCTCCTGCTCTCCTTTTTTCTTCTTCTTTTTTTCCTCGTCGTTGATGTTGTTTGTAATTTCCTTCAAAGCATTATGATGCTGTGGTAGCGCGCACACAGGCTGGCGTTTGTTTGCGTGTGCGTGAAACCTCGCATCTGCATTGACAAGCATTTCCTATGCCGCCTTCTATGTTTTGCCTACAATACGCCACAGTCAGCGATCTTCACTGGCTTCGTTGGTCGGTCGTTGTAGCCTGTCTTGGTGTTCTCCACCTTCCTCACAACGTCCATGCCATCGACAACTTTCCCAAAGACGACGTGCCGGCCGTCAAGCCAGGGTGTGGGAGCCGTGGTCAGAAAGAACTGTGAGCCGTTCGAGTTGGGCCCGGCGTTCGCCATGGAGACGGCGCCCACGAAGTGCTTGATGCCCAAGTTCTCGTCGTCGAAGCGCGCACCATAAATGGACTTTCCCCCCGTCCCATCAAAATTTGTGAAGTCACCGCCTTGAATCATGAAGTTGCGGATGACGCGGTGAAAGATGGATCCCTTGTAGCCGAAACCGTTCTCGCCGCTCGCAAGCTGCTTAAAATTCTGCACGGTTTTGGGGGCCTCTTTGCCGAAAAGACCAATCACGATGCGGCCCACCGGCTCATCGCCGATGGTGACGTCGAAGTACACCTTTTCCGTCACCGTCGGCTCCGCCCGCACGGCACCCTCCACAGCGAGCAGCAGCAGCAGCAGCAGCAGCAGCAGCAGCAGCTGCGGCCGGACCGTCGACAGAACCAAAGATCGCATGAATGCAAACTGTAGAATCACGGGCAGATGCTGCAAAGTGGGTAAAAAAAAGCGGGGGGAAGGGGAGAGAAGTGGGAAAAGCAGGCAAATAACACTCACTAAGGAATACCAGCAGCAAGGCCTAGAGGAGCCACTATACAGTGGACACAAGAAGTAGTAGTAGGAGAAAGCAAGAAAAACGCAAGAAACGGAAAAGTCCTCGTAACGTCGTCTCCTTCAATTTCAGCAAAATAGAGGTAATTAGTGGGAAAATTAGACGTCACTCCTAGTGTACATATACGTACAGGCACATTTACATAATATATATATATATATCCGCACACTGCACTAATGGTGCGGACTCGGTAACCTTATCACTTGTTCCGCGTTTTGGAGGCCGTCTCACGACGCAACCTGTCCCTCACTGCCATGAGAATAACACCAAGAAGGTTTTTTCCCGTCCCGTCACCGCGGTCGCCCCAAAAGTCATCGGATGTTGTGTGGTCAACAATAAGTTTGTCGCCTGTCTCCAAGAGGAGGCTTCGTGCAGCCTCATTCTGCTTGAATTTCATGTAGTTGCCAAGCAGCATGACGTCAACCTTCGCCCGGTTCCAGTCATCACGTTGGCTACTGGTTCGCTCTGCTTCCTTCACGAGACGGTCCAACTCCCAGACTGATGTTGCCGACTGCAACGCCAGTGCCGTTGGCGTGTCGCGGAATCGCTCAGCGAGGAAATAGTGATGCAGCGATGGGTATTGTTTGTGACGAATAACTATCGGATGCGGTGACAGTGGGCTGAAAGCCCCGTACGGCACCTCATGCACGTCGTGGAACCGCACGACGCTCTTACTCATACGTGGGACCAATAATCCTGCCGCACCTTCGATCCGCTTCTATTCCCCTGCCTTCTCCGCGGCCTTTGCCCCCCCCCTTTTTTTACCTCTCTCTCTGTGTGTACGTGTGTCTTCCTTGGCGCGTTGCTGCCTGCTTTCCACTCACTCACGCGCACAAGCACACTCTCTCTTGTTCAGCGAACGCTTCCGCTCACAATGTTTCTTTTCTGTTGAGCGATTAGCGAGAGAGAGAGAGAGAGGGAGAGAGGGGAGGGACAGTGATAGTTTTCCACACAGCACAAGCGAGGAGGCACACTAACAAGTTGATGGTTTCCAGTTTGGAGCCGCCGCAGGAGTGTGGTCGACGACGCTCATGAAGTGCCGTGACAGAAAAATAATGCAAGAGGGAGAAGAGGAATGAAACACCAAGGAATGAACAAAGAGAAAGAGATCACATTTTGAAGCAACGGATATTTCTTACATCCATCGTCTTCATCGCTTATTCCCTCATGAATACAGATATATCGCTTCTCTCACACCCACACGATCTCCAGCGCCACCACCCGCTGTCGTTCTTTCAGTCCTTGCGTAGTTCAAAGATTTCAGTCCGGACGCCATCCGCCATGATGATGTGGAAGCATACTGCATCGCCGGTGAAGATGTCACGCTCAGCCGCTCCAGTGAAGGCGTTCTTAAGCATCTCAAGGGTCTCTGTCATGCTGAGCTCAGCCGGGGCCTGTTGCACCATGTGCTGGCGCGTCAGCAGGCAGTCCATGAGTGGCTGCACAAAGCCACTGGCAGAGCCGGAGGCGCCGTAGCGAAGGGGCTCTGTCGATCCCACAGGGTCGTAGCTGTAGCACACACCAGCGCCGCTTTCGTCGAGACCGACGATCATATTAAACGTGTAGTACGGAAAGAAGCGTCTCTGGTACAACATAGTTGAGGTAAGTTTGGCAATGGCCTTTGTGGAAGGCACTTTTCCACCGTTGTTGTACTGGTACCACTGAATACGATACTTCAGCATCTGCTGAAGCTGAAGGCGGTCCGCTTGCATACCTGTTGATGCGAGAAATGTACGGTCGGTGAGCTGAAACAACTTTGATAGGTCGTCACGAGTGTGGATGCAGAAGTCACCATTCAGGCGTGTGTCTCCGCCCAGAATCACGTAATTGTTACCAGCGATGGCGGCGACTGTGCCGCCGTTGTCCGCGTAGGGGGACCACTGCTGCTCCTTCACCCCTTGCCGCGGAAGCGTTAGCGTGGAGCCTGCCAGCTTCTTTGGGTAGTAATGCCCATACTCCATATGGTCCTCGATCATTAGCGGCGCGTTCGTGTGTGTTTATTTTGTGTTTTTTTTGTGTTGTTTTGATCTTTTTTTTCCGTTTTTTTTTGCCCTTGGTGGTTTTTCCTTCTCTTCCTTCGTCCTTTTCCCTGCCGTCCGCGGTGGATCTGTGGATAAACAAGGAGATGCGGGGAGTGTGTCGGCATGCGCAAGTGGCGGTGCACGTGCCGAGAGAAAAACACGGGGGTTCAAAGAAGAGGCGCGACCTGCGGGGGCCACACGCGTTCCTCACCACCGCCGCCGCCGCCGTCAGGGCCCTACTGAAGGCCACTACACACACACACACACACACGCAGGAAAGAGTTGCCCACCTCAGACGTGGCCACTACGGCGAGATACCTCCTGCATCTCACGCTCCTTGTCAGCAACGCGCTGTCGGTAATGTTCGCGGGCCGCGTCGCAGGCAGGACACGTGTCGCCGCGCGCTAAGATGCGCAGCAGCTGCTGATAGCCCTCAAACAGAAGCAGCGCTGCACAGGTTGAGGCGGTCAGAAGCCACATGCTGTAGTTCTGCGATCCCTCACTGAAGCCAAAGTCACGCGTATTGAAAACCTCCCACGGCCTCTCTCGTGGCCGGCGTGCCTTTGGTAGACGCACACGCAAAAGCGCCGTCGCTCGCATCGCTAGAGACGAGCAGCACGCACACACGCTCACTCTTACGTAGAATGAAAACAAAACAAAAATGCAAGTAAGAAATACTAACCATAATCATAATAAAGAAGGAAGTCCAAATGTATACCAACAGATGTGTTTGTTGTATACATGAATCGACAAATGCACATGGATGGGGTGCGCCTGTGCATGAGAGAAGAAGGCGAAAACAAATACTAAACACAGGGGGAAGTTAAGCAGAATTCCAAAAAACCCACCAACTACATGAAATTCAAGACTGGTTGTAAAAGGGCAGCGTTTCAACAAAGAAGCGGCGGTGCGATTCATCCGCAACAAGTCGCTCACATGCCGCGCGAACGGCGCCCGCGGTATTATGCCGCTCAAACACCATCAGCGTGCGTTCTTCAAAGGCAAACGGGGTAAAGAGTGGGCTGTAGCGTGCGTCGGGCGACATCTTCGACAACGGCTGCGATGGCCGCTTTGGGTTAAAAAATAGGACACTCTGCAGAGGGTCGCTCCGGCCCTTGCCTTGGTGAATGACCACCAGATCTGCAATAAAGTCCGACGCGGTGAATGGCCGTGACGCCGACGCACACGCGAGTATCTCCGTCGACAGCCGCTGCACCCACCCTGGCGACAGCTCTGCGTCCGGGTCGAGGGTGCGAGAGAAGACCAGGCGATAAATGTCGCGCGCGCGAAGGCGGGCGATGAGGTTGCGTGCCGGCTGCAAAGCCTCATCCGAGCTACTCTCAATTGCCTCCAGCACCCAGTCGCCCAGCTTCAGCAGCAGCGCATCCTCCGTGGCACACTCAAGGAGTGTGTGGCCTCCCACCATAAAATGCGGCGCAGCCAAGTAGAAAATGTCTCCAATCATATGACCAATCGCCTTGACAACGTAGTGCTGATAAACATTCTTGTGAAGCTTCGCACGCAGGGTAAAGAGCTCACGCAGCGAGAGCGCCAGTTTTTCCTCAAATGCTAGCTGCCACTGCCCATCATCACACAATAAACGTGCGGAGTTGAAGAGGCGGTTGACACGCACGTCCAGCGTCGGTTTCCCAAAGCAACAGAGCGAGTCCCGCATAAAGTAGTCGAGCTTGTCCACGTCAATACCACTACGTTTGTTGCTAATTACCTCTCCGTACTTCATTGCCAGGCTGCAGCGGCCTCGCATGAGGCCAATAACGTCCTCCACGTCATCAAGAGGGAGAAACGTCCTTAGCACTCGCCGCGTGATGCGTTCTGACATGTCCTCATGATCAAATGCTACACCACACCGTGTTGTAATGACGTCTTCAAAGAGGTGTGAGAATGGTCCGTGCCCAATGTCGTGGAAGAGACCGGCGAGCATCGCCTTGTCAACGTCATTGTCGTCAATGCCCAAGTCCGGTTGGCGGCGTTTGATGCTCGTTAGAAGGTGTCGCGCCATATGTGCCACCCCAATGGAGTGCTCGAAGCGCGTGTGCACTGCCCCAGGATAGAGAAAGGAGGAGGCGCCAAGCTGCTTCAGGGACCGCAATCGTTGGAACGCCGCCGTATCCACCGCTTGCAGTATGATAGGAGGCAGCACGACGTGTTCGTGCACACGATCCAACAGGGTCGTTTCACGCAGTCGCCTTAGATGCATCTCTACCGCATGCAAAATAATAATAATAATAATAATAAAAGCGATATCACCGCAACATAAATATGAAGAGAAAGTAATAAAGACACTGAAGAGAAAAAAAAACACACACACAGCGTACGCAGCGTGCCGTCGCTCTAATTCCTTCCACGCACACACACGCACACTCCTCCACAACGCCTTTCACCTTTTCGTTAAAAAGAAAAAAAAACACAGCACAGTTAATCGCGGAATTCAGGTACCAAAAACTAAGAAAAGCGCATCGCCGCCCTCTCCAGTACACATTACAGAAACGGGCAGCAGGAGAGCAATATACCCCTTATTTCCCTTCGAGTACCATGTCTGGAATGAAATCTCGAATCGGGTATTCCCGCTGACACTGTGGGCACACAAGCCTGCCTTGGCGCACTGCCACCTCCTGCACGATGTGATGAATCGCCTTGAGATCCTCTGATTGTTCGGAGAGGTCAACATCTTCCAAGGTCTCCGGTGGACGCCTTGCGGACCCTAGCAGATGCTGCTGTTGCTCCTTCACGGCGTTAAACGCTTCTACAATGAAACCATAGTCCATGCGGGCCAACATCAGCCGAATAAAGGCAGAGTCAAATTCACAGGGCTGCACCTCCGCCTCCACGTCACGAAGCTGCAGTGGAAAAGACTGGCACTCGAGGCAGCAAAGGAAATTGTGCGTCAGCAGCCGCATTTTAGTTACCGCCAACAACAAGCACGGTCCCTTTAACTCACTTAGTTTTGATCAAAAAAAAAGATGGAAAAAGAAAAAAAGAGTGTGGAGAAAGCATGAGGCAGTGGCACAAAGGCAAAAACAATACGTAGCTAAAGCAACAAATGAGACAGGTGGAAAAAAAAAGTTTCGGCAGAGAAAGGGTACATTCACATCCGGAAGAAAAGTTTGTTTTGCTTTGGCACCACATGAAACCCAAAACCAGCGGAAACTGCTGCTGCTGCTGACGACGACGACGACGAAGGCGGCGGTGGCCCCCCCTGCAGCGGCAACGGCCGCGGTCGTGTCGCAAGCTCAGCTGAGCTCGGAAGATGTTCGAGAATGGCCAATGGCGTTGGGCGCAGCATAGGTTCACCGTTGGAGTGCCCGCGCGGAACCTGCTCGGGGTGACTAGCGCGTTTTAAGGAATGATTTTCACTGCGGGGAGAAGTTCCTGTGGTGGGTGCAAGCACAGGGGTGGATGTCGCCGTCACCCCCGGTGACCTTTGAAGTGACCTCTGCAAAAGGCTCGGATCAACGGTTCCCGTTTCAGGCAAACCCAGGGCATTCCGAAGGAGGGCGTTTTCCCCCTGCAATCGACGAATTTCCGTTTTCAAGTCGTAAATTTCCTGCTGCGTCGCATCAACTCGCTCAACCGGCCGTGACCGGATGTTTCGCGCCCGCTGAGCAAAATGAATGGTGCGTAAGGACTCCTCTACAAACCGAGAGGAAGGCGTCACACATGCCACTAGAAGCGTGCGACAGCCACCGTCAAGCGTGTCCATCAGCAGCTGCGTCAGCACACTTGAGCGATAGGGAATATGTTCTCTCTGTTTTACTGTGCGACTTTTTGATAGCTTTTCAACGACGTTCCCGAGAGCAAAGAGAGACCGGTTGATGGACTTGCTATCATCGTTTTGGCTACCTGTATCCCGCAGACGCTCCGACCCGGCGAGGTCCACAAAAGTAATTTTGCCGTGAAGTGCAGGTCTGTCACCCTCTGATACCTCTGCGTACACAGTGAAGAGCACATGCGAGCGACTGCTATCAGCATTCAAGAGATGTTCGGCTCGTTTCCGTCGTAGTTGCCCCTCTTGTAAAGCCAAAACAAAGTCATCAGCGTTTAAGCACTCCACAAGCATCAAGTCTTGTACAAAGAAACTGTTGGCCTCTCTTGACCAGCGGCACTTAAGTCCCTCACTCCCATTCAAAAGGTCGTTTATGCGCTCATTAAATAGTTCCAAATAAGAAACCCTTAATATAATGGACTTTGCTACGTCACTAGTAACAGTCAGGAGTCGATCACGCGCTTTTGCTAAATAGCGAGCAGCAGCGAACTGAATCCCGTCCCTTGTTAGCTCCTCATTCTCCTCTTCCTCAGTGCGCCCGCTCATGGTGTACGTCTTACCGCCACCCGTTTGGCCAAAGCACATCACCGTGGCAGCCCTTCCCTCAAAAACTGCATCACACATTTTGGCGATCCCTAATTCAGCAAAAACCTCCTCCTGACTCACATCCGGACCAAGACAGCAATCCATATCAAAAGTGTGCACCTGATTTTGGGTGGCACGGTTTACGCGAGCGATAACCTGAACACTTTTCCCTCCTGGAAGCACCGCAATTTTTTCATCCTCACCGCGCTCTCGCTCTGTTGGCAAGAGCGGTCTCACACGCAATGCAACCTTCACCTGCTCCATTTTGTTTTCTCTTTCAGCTGCGTGGCTGTGTACGTTCCCAATTTAACGAAGCACGTCTTCCGTGGATAGCCGACGACCAAAAAGCGCAGAGAAGAAGCGCTTCAGCAGTTAGAAATGAAGGTAAAAGAAATCAGAAAGCGAAAGGGAAAAAAACACACACACATTTCAGATGTTTCGTAATTTGCATTCTGATAAGAAAAAAAACAAGTTAACTGATGCAGCCACCGCTCTCTCTCTCTCTCTCTCGCCTAAGAAACCTCCGCCAAAGTTATTCCTTTTTATTATTCTTTTTTTTTCTGTGCGGAGAACTTATGCTATTTACATAGCTAATTGTCACGATGACAGCGGAGTAATAACTTTTAAAGGGACAACTACTTATATAGAAAACACATTGTGTATTGTTTGGCACCTCGCCGCGTAGAAGGTGATGTTAGATGCAATCTGCCCAGAAAATTCGGTGGAAACTTTTTTTTTTAAGACAAGAGAGGGGAGGGGGGGGAGGGGTGAGCGCTTCTTCAACTAGAGCAAATAGAAACAAAAACGCGGTGCTGGGTATTAGTAATAAATTGCCGCGCCCGCAAGAAGGCATAAAATCGAATTGAAACACTGCTCTTCATCCAACAGAAGAAACATCTGGCTCATTTACATCAAAACATATTTTTTCTTTTTTTTGCACGCCGCGAATTAAGGAAAGCCTGTAAAAAAGAGTTGTTGAGCAAACTTCAGGTAAAGAAATGATGGTGCCTTGAAAGGGAAGTGAAAAAGGAAGGTAACACCCTGCCAAAATATCCTCCGAATCCCCTTGGCATCATATTATCCGCTGCATAAATTGGCCTTCTATGCATTTACCAGTAACCTTCTTGGGGATGCCTTGGTAATATTACCTAGAATGTCTATTCCCACATCCATATTCTAAGAAGAAGAAGAACAGAATCCACGGAATGGGAAGTGAATACATGTAGAAGGATAAGCAGAACGGCGCAGGCAAAGGCGAGAAAGAAATGCAGACAGCAAGTCCTCTAAAATAAATAGTGCCAAAATTGGAATAAAACGAATTGGTTTTCATTTCGAACTTCAAAGTCATGCAGGAGTACTGTATTCACATTGGTCTCCCATTCCGTCAACTCGTTCTTCTAATGCTCATAGCATTTATAGAGAAGAATCGATGCCTATTTTTTTCTCTAGGGCTGTAATGCGCTGTAAAATTCGTCTCTGTCTCTGTGTCAGATCAGCTTCCAGTCTCTCATAGGTATCTTCAACTGCCCTTTTAGTACCCTCATTTTCAATGAGAATCTGCATTTCCTCTTCCGTTTTTTTTGTTTTCTCCCACAATTCTTCCTTGGCTTTTGTCTCTTCGTATTCATTTACTAGTGATGCCAGCTCTGTTTCACGCAACCCCTTCATTACATCCATATGTGAAGGATATACCTCCTTTGAAGCCGCCTCCTGCGTGATGGGAAGGCGTAACGGAGGAGCAGGCACCGGGAGTTCCACAAAAATAGAAAAATCATTCGACACTCTCGTTTCCTGTTGGTGTCTAGCAACGTATACATGTAACGATGCATGCTGAATGATCCCTTGAAAAAGGTATATGCAAAACGGCCCTATACTTTCTTTTGTCAAGTACATATTTTCACGAGGGAGTAAAGTAGTAGCTTCCACTTCCTCAACGGCCACCTTATCTGTGGCCCGTGCAGCTTTCTTGCTCGCACTCTTAGAAGGAGGAGGCTGTTCGGCCGCATTTTCATCAATAGGAGGTGTTTGCCGCCACTTCCAACCTTCTTCAATTTCGGAAGAGACAAAATTCGTCAACTCCTTTCGCATCTCCTCCATATCACATCCTTTCTCCACAACAAGTTGAAACTGATTCATCCATTTGATCAGGTGTACAATTTGGGAGGGCCCGTACTTCTGATCCGCACAAAAGCGAAGAAAATCTAGTCTTGAATCCAGGATAATTTGATGTTTGAGGTCAATCAGATAGTCTTCGGCTCCCAATGCTCTTGCTGTCGACACCAGAAGTGATGCTCCATCTCGCTCCGCAATAGATTGTAACAACTGCTCAATAAATTTTTCATCCTGGAATGAGAACGCCGGTGCGGCAACGTTCGTAACCAATCCCTCTAACTTTCCTCGTGGCGGCATCTGCCCTTGATAAAACGTTGGTACAAAAAGAAAAAGAAAAAGTGTAAAGAAGAGGAAAATGCCTGCTAAAGAAACAGGCAGAGAGAGAGTAGCCACCACAAGGAATACATTTTCTCTCCAAAAAAAAACAACTAATAACACTGACATGGATAGCCACAATAAAGAAGAGAAAATTTATAAACGTACGTGCTTATACATGACCATTAGGCAAGTACAACAAAAAACGACAACCACAAAGTAAACTCTACTCGCTTGACGTCTTCCAAGACGGAAGAATGATACACTCGTGGTAGTACTTCTCTAAGAAAATAAGGTGCACGTTAGCACAAGAAACTGAGTCCATGAGTCAGAGCAGAAAAAAAATCACGCATCTAAGTATATGGGAAAGGTTGCAGTGCAGCCCTCATTCGTTTTGCATTCGATAACTTCTCAAAGCCAAACACAATTTGGGTTGGTTTGGTCGAGGTGCGAACAATTACCCAATTTGGGCCCATTTCTTCTCTAGCCACACTCGAGATTCTAACTTCTTTTATAGAGGAAAGAGGGATCCGCATCTGCTGGAATTCGTTCCTCGGTGTTTGCTGGTGCCACTTGAGTACATCGTGACGGGGATCTACATCAACCAGAGAATAAATATTAGTCTTAAACGTTCCGATAAGCGACCAGGCAGGTTGAAAGCACTGGCGCCGCAAGGTATTCTCCTGAACATCGGTCGGATCAAGAAAAACATCATCGGCTAGATGAAAAAAAGCAGGACCCTTAAGTGTAGGTGACCACGCAGCAGAAGCATTTGCATCTCCCAAGTTCGGCAGACTTTCGTTGCGCTTTCTCTGGAGATTTTCTGACGAAATACTCTTTGACTCTGGTAGATAGCGCTTGTACGATTTCTGTGGGTCTTTGTTCAACGCAGAAACTCCGACATTTTCCCTAGCTCGCTTGGCTGCTTTGATGCCATTTCTGGAACTTCGCAGAAAGACAGAGAAATCCGGACAGGCTTCTACGGCAACATGCGATGTATCGCCCAAAGCTGTTGAGCACGGGCTTCTTTGGGAGGGTGCAAGAGCCATCAACCGGGGAACCATTGCAATGAAGACACGACTTGTCTCTGCTTCTACACGCTTATTCGACGCTGCCAAGAAAAAGTAGAAAAACAAATCAAGAAGGGGAAGACAACATGGACAACGACCTCATGCAACGAAAATGAAATCGATAAACAGAAAGCTCCCAAAGCACAACTCTCGCCAGAGCGGGGAATGGAACGCGAAACGACACAAGAGACAAAGAAGACACGCAAAGAAGCAAAAAGCGCACACAGGACACGCGTCGGCGCGTCATTGGCCCGTCGCCCCCCGCCGCCTTCACCGGGGCGACCGAAAAAAATAAAAATAAAAAAACAATAATAACAATAATACATAAATAAACAAAACACCCTTCTCCCTCTCGCTGGTGTGACTTTGAATCGCGCCGGTTCTTGCCAGTGGGGGGATGATATCCCTCCACTAGCGCACTCCTGAACTCGCAGCAAGAGGACCATCACGTCCAAGAAGAGCAAGAAGGCCCCCAAGGCCCCTGGCGCGGCGACGCGCGTGAAACACGCACAGCTCCGCTGGCGCCCGGGAACCGTGGCGCTGCGCGAGATCCGCCAGTTGCAGCGCTCCACGGACCTCCTCCTGCAGAAGGCGCCCTTCCAGCGCCTGGTGCGGGAGGTGTCGGGGGCGCAGAAGGAGGGCCTGCGCTTCCAGAGCAGCGCGATCCTCGCGGCGCAGGAGGCGACGGAGTCGTACGTCGTGTCGCTGCTCGCCGACACCAACCGCGCGTGCATCCACAGCGGCCGCGTGACGGTCCAGCCGAAGGACATCCACCTGGCCCTCTGCCTCCGCGGCGAGCGCGCGTAGGCGTGCGGCGGCGGCCGCCCCTCTTCTCGCCCTAGACGGAGCAGGGGTGATGGGGGCGGGCGCCCGCACCCACGACGCCCCCTCACCTTGTTTTCATCGCCCGTGTTCTGCCCGTCTCGCGCGCTAACAGCCACGCGGCGTGCGTGGGCC